TACCTGGTTTAAAGAAACCTCATCCCACTTTGATTGATATTGCAAGAGGCCATCTTATTTGGGTCAAGGATTTACTGCAAAATAACGGGAAGGAATGGAACTCCTGGTTAGTTGACCAAGTTTTTGATGCTGATGAGAGTACAGCCATCCTCAAGATAAACACTCTGAACCCTGAAAGGCCAGATAGATGGCTGTGGGGTCTTGATTCCAAAGGAGAATTTTCAGTTGCAAGCACTTACAAACATCTTGCTGATTTGAAGCTTCAACAGCTTGACATCCCAGAGCCAAGCTTTTCAAATGCTCAACCAAACAAACTGTTTCACAGATTCTGGAAGCTGAAGATTCAAGGGAAACTAAAACACTTTCTTTGGAAGTGCATCACAAACACTCTTCCAGTAGCTGTTAACCTGAGGAAAAGAGGTATAGAGGTTGATGTCATCTGCTCTCTGTGTGGGGAAAAACAGGAAACTGTGGAGCATTTGTTGTTCTCCTGTTCTAGAGCTGCAAGAATCTGGGACCATGGTCCTGTGCATAAGGATGGTCTTCAACACCATACTCACTCCTTTAAATCTTGGTGGCACCAGATCAGCCTTATCAAGAAAACTGGAAATGTAGTTGATAGAATCCAGTTGTCCACCTACCTGCTATGGTGGCTTTGGAAATCTCGGAACCATTGGGTCTTCAACAACTCTCTTATGCCTGATCAAATTGTGATTGCTGCAGCCCTTAAAGACTGGCAGGACTTCTCTTCTTTTTCTTGCAATTCTTCTTTTGGTTTTGGTTCTTGATGTAGTGTGTCAGTTTCTTTTCCTTGTCCAGTTGTTGGTTGAAGGAATGTTTCTATCTAGGCCTTTGGCAGTGGAAAGATGCATTGCTCCTTTGTTGTTGTTTTTTTTTTCTTTGCTCTTATGTTGAGGTTCTAGGTACTTTGATAAGTACCTCTCAGTTTTCTATTTGGTGTCCTCGTTGTATTCGAACTTTGTTCGCGTTTTTATTATATAGAATCTCTATCGTTTTGGCAAAAAAAAAAAAATTGCATATTTTCGTTGCATATTTACTTCATTCCTGATGCATATTTAGTTAGTAAAATGTGCATATTTAGTACATAAACAGTGCATACATAGTTGATATTATTGCTGCATATTTAGTTCATAAGGATGACATATATAACTCATTTCTTATGCATATTTAGTTCATACTAAGTGCATAGTACTGTATGAATATTTACTTCATACAAAATGTAGACTAGGGGGTCAATGGTCAACGCCGGAAGTCAACGGTCAACGCCAAAGTCAACGCCGGAAGTCAACGGTCAACGCCGGAAGTCAACAATTTTTTTGCCGGAAGTCAAC